AGCCGATATACACCCCTAACTTCATATATCCCATTGACTGAGTCACTTAAGGACAGGCACTAGTGAGCATCTCACCTTTTAAATGATGCACATGCTTGGCCTATTCCTGGCAATACTTCCATAAGGAAAACGCTCACCCCACCTTACCTGCCCAATGATGAGTCATCAAACTCTTAAACTCATTAACCCCCTTGACCTTTGCAGGCCTCTTTCTCCCTTAAAGTCTAAACAGTGTTTTAACCCGCAACTAACCACCCTGTAACCCATTCTAACAACCGTGGCGGGTGTTCGTTCACCACAGGTCCCCCCTCCCCCTCCACCGAGGCACAACATCGAGCCATCGCTAGTACGCAGAGCGTCCCTCGTTTACAAAGAGAGTCAACGTAAGGCATGCTAAACCCCACATAAAGATGGTGCAGTAGAGCCCCCTCTAACTCACTCTAAACAGGCCGATGAGTTGATGTGCTACATGTCACTGTATGTGTCCAATAGTTTGCCACTGTTTGTTCTGCAGCTCTGTTGGTCAATATCGCAGTAATGCACATTTCACATGGAACAGAACGTTGGTTAAACGCCTCCTGCAAACAGGGATTGTGCGCTCCTAGCTTAGCAATTGTAACAAGCCACAGCTCAACCTGTCAAGCTTCCACATGTTGAATGATACTCTGCATTTTCAATGACTTAAAGGTACAGTGTGTAGAATTTAGTGATATCGAGTGGTGAAGTTACATGTTGCAGCTGAACACCCCTCACCTCACCCTCCTCTTCTAAACATGAAAAAGAACCTGTGGTAGCCTTTAATTGTCATAAAAACTCAAAAGGTGTTTAGTTTGTCCAGTCTGGACTAATGTAAAAAACATGGCGGCCTCCATAGAGAGGGTCCCCTCCATGTAAATATAAAGTATTTAAATATAAAGGGCCTTTTCTGGGGTAAAGAAAACTACAATTCATACAATTTAGATGAAATGAACTAGTGAAAACATCATGAGGATTATTCTACATTAAATTTCTGCCAATAGATCTGTTTCACCTAAATCTTACACACTGGACCTTTAAATGGCTAATTGTGTTTTGCGTACAGAGCATCACAGTGGGAAGGATTACATCATTAACTTGTGGGTGCACATTAGGGTGCATAATTAAAAAATAACAGTCCTTTACGTGTCTCCCAATATAAAGTAATGCTAGGACTGAGATGAAGACTGCATGGATCCTGGAGCATTCACCTTCAGTTTCAGTCTTCCTGCACAGTATCTGTGTATGTAGATACTGTCAGTGCAAGACGATTTCCCGAAGATCCCCATTTTGAAACAAGTCAGCTAAAAACATTAAAGTCAGCCCAAGACAGCGATTTAAATCACATCACTATGCTAATGTTACCTTGCTACAGCTGAAATGATGGTCACTCACAAGATTTGAAACCTATTTCATTTCGCTCTCTTTGAAATCAAGTAGGAAATGTAAATCTGCTGCTGTCATCATCAAACTGCAAATGTGCTGTGTGAGAAATGAAAGCTTGACAGGTTTAGCAACTGTAACTCAGGGGGATGGGGCTTAGCCAGTGGTTGGTTCACAGTCTGGTACTTTTAGCTTGTCGAGCACCTGCTGTACATGCAGCGCCAGACACAGTTGCTATTTAAAGACTATATGTACAACTGCATTAACACGAACAGTGTCAAACTATTCCTTTAGTCCATGTAGCTGCTCATCTACTTCCAGTCACTGCTGTTTCATAGTGAAGTGACTGTTTTGGTAGGTGTGGTGGTGTAAAAGTTTGGTGCATCACAGCTTGTACTTCTTCTTCAGCATTCATGTAATTGATGCTAGTTCCCCTCCCTCCATCAACTCCTTTACAAATTCATACTGAAACATCCCATCTGGAATCACTGTAACCAGACAGATGGATTTGTAAGGTGGTTTGATGCATTTACTTTGATTTAGCTTCCATGATAAAAAATTCCAGAGGGATTTTTTTCTAGTTCTTGTTGTTTACACTTTCATTGCGTCAGTTTCAGTGCCTGAGTTGAATCTTGCGACGTAAACACCCTAACCAAGTGATAAATTAGTTCATAAAGACAATGAGTCATCCAAACCAATTTTTAATCACCTCATAAACCATGATATTTCGTCCATAAAAGAGCTCATTGGCACTGAAAAGGGCCAAAACACGATGCACTTGTATGGGTGCTGATGGGAGACTTGATCCATTTGTACGTCTGTGGAAAGGTAGGATCTCTGTGTTGGGAAGATGAGTGAATACCAGAAAATGTCCAACATGTTTATTTTCACAACCAATTTTCTGTGTCGGTGCAGTGGGCTTAAAGTGGTCTTGAGAATTACATGTGCATGTCCACATACTTCAATCTCTTGATTTCATGCTTTTTGTGTCTGTCCTCTTTTCTCCATACCACCCCCCGACATGTATCTTATCCCTATATTGCCCAGTAAACTACATTACTAATCCCGACATTTACTGCACCACGTAAGTTGCAAAGTCAGTGTGAGGCTGAATAAATGGAAACGAAGGGGAAAGACATGACCGGAAAGATGGGGGGATGCAGACACTATATCTCAAGACTTCCCATTAACCTCAATGTTGAAAATCACCTTGTCTGCCTTTGCTATTAGGCAGCAGAAGCTAGTGGAGCGAGTCCTGTTTAAATGTACATGCTGCCCTGTTATAATTCAAAAACATACAGTATGCCTTTAAATTCTACTCTGCAAAAAGTCTGTCAGGTGAACTATGGCAAGGAAAGGTCACTTTCAGGCTGTGACACAAAATCTCTGCTGGTGTCAGACGAACCTTTGCATATTTTAAAAAGCTGTAGGTGGAACAGACGTGAGTCAGATGTTTTGAATGTACTGTATGAACGTTGAATGTTCTTCATAAACATGTCTAAACACGACCAAACCTATTTAATAAAATTTGTCATATTAAATAGGTTCCAAAATGTTACCAACACTTTTCAACCGGGAGAAATCTGCATTTTTATTCAAGGTCAAATTTGAATTAAACTGCTTCATCCAACTCTGCTGTAAGTTCAGGGCCAAACGATGTCCGACAAAGGAAAAACACTGTTAGCCAGTTGGCTGTTCCGTCTGCTGTTTGATTTGGTCACTCACGATTCTTCATTGCTATTTGCTGCGTAACGTTAATACAGCTATTTTACATGACCTCATCTGTAAACATGATTTGCGCTTCACAATGTCATCAAGACTAGGTCTTTTCGTATCATTTTAATTGAGTGACCCCTAGTGGCTGATGTAACACATTTAAAGAATATCAGTGTTTCTGAATTAAGTAGAACACATTTATTGTACCCTACTAGATACCAGGCTTCACATTAATGCAAGAACTAATTCAAATGCTGCTCTGTTTTTAAGTACAGTGCATATTCTGACAGGGGCCATATGGCCAGAAGAGGAACAGAGTCCATTTTCATTGTGTCTCCCCTAATTGAGACGTGGTACAGATGGAGTCAGTGGGGTTACTGGAAGACAGAGTGGATGGGGTGTGTATGCAGTGCAATATGTTGCAGCATTAGTGTCTGCGCTAATATTTAGCTTCTTGGTCTTTGTCAATGTGGAACAAGCCTGTTGTTTTCTATCCTCTCCACAGGGTTCAGAAGGTCATAACACAAATTAGCATGCAGTGCCCAATGATGCAGTGTTGTGGCTCTCAGTGTGTGGGATGGATTCAGTGTGTGTGTGTGTGTATGTGCACTGCATAATGGCCTGGCTGATGCATTTTTTAGCTCTCAAATGGGATATATTTCCATCCCATCGTCTGCTCTCCTCTGCTGTGTTCTTGATGAAATGAAGTGTGCTCGGCTTCCCTCTGCAGATAGACAGCGAGGGGTTGTGACGAACGCAGTGGGACGGAGAAAAAGACAAAGGAAACAAGTGCAGTACTTTGTGTTGTGATTTCGCTCATGCTGGATCAGAGCGGGGAGGGCGGGCAAATTTCCGATCATGAGGGAGGTATTTGCAATTCAATCTGAATGGCTGGAGGCGTGTGTGTGTAACCTACAATGAGCCGCATATATGGAAAAATGTTCGGGTATTTTCTCCATTAGCCTGCCCGATAAAAGAGAGGCGCAACCTGGGGTGCTCTCTTTATGCTTCCACAGTCAACATTAGTGTCTGTTATTGACTTTCCAACAATGTTTTCGGGCCACTGAAGGGAAATTTAGCCAAGGTAATGTGTGTGTCTTGAGGATTTCTCATGTAAAATGAAGATGTATAATTTTAAATGACAAAGGCCCAATTTTTGTTGATTCACTGAGGGCAATTTCCCTGCACTTGCAAACCCTGTAGGTCTTGATAGTCAATTTGCCAGCATTAAGCTGAGGGGCTTCGATTACACATTCCAGCAATAAAGCAAGTCCTCCCCTCTTCTTCCTCTTCATATCTCATTCTCCCCTCAATTCATCCTCCCGGCTTGACATTTTCCCTCTCTCGCTGTCTCGCTGTCTCCCTCATCTTCCCATTTCTCCCTCTAAAGTCAGCCCTAGGTGGCACGTTGGAGGCATTAATTGAATAATTAATTCCTCTCATTAGCTTGTTTTTAATTATTTCCTTGCCCCCATCCCTGTGCCAAGTATAAACTCATCAACTGTTTTCATCCTTCCACATAAATTGCCCATGAAAACTGAGGGCTGGCGGAGTGTAGCTTCTGCACACTGGCTCTATCAGTGGCTCCTAATGAGGGGACGGTTAGCCCAGGCGGAACAAGCCTAACACTGCCTTCATGCACCAAGAGGCACAATACTAATTTAGCTCATTTAGTGTCCTTGCGCCAATTAAAGGGAGGTGAAAGGGGCCAAATCCGCTCGCCGGAACTGTTTCTCTATAGGAGCAGTGGCCTTGGACTGCGCCGCGCTGCACAGGCCCGGACAGCAGCGAACCAGGCCTGTGTGTCTGATTGCTCGTTTGTTTGCAATGTGTTGTACTAATGGAATTTATTTGCCCTACATTCTCCAGATTTGGCTCCTTTGAAGGGCCTTATTACTTGTGACACAGATTCCTTCCCAGCTAAGGGGTAAATGGTGCTAAAGACCGCTATGCCCACTTAGTCTATTTTTGTTCCTGCTAATAAATAATCTCTGGTGCTGGATTGGCAATTTGGATTATATCATTATCTTGATGATATAATAAAAAGAAGTAAACAAAACACGTAGAAACGTTGAAATACTCCTGCTCTGCTTCAATGACTCATAAGCCCATTGACAGCTGTACAATCACAGTCATGTTCTGGTATCCACTCAATCTCCTGCATTTTTTGATGTTGCATTCCTGTCCTTCATGTATAAATGTGCTTAAGTTTCTTTCATGTGGGCTTACACTCGCTGTATGTCTTTTATTTTGCCTCGCTGCTACGTTTTATTGATGTCTGATTTTTTTTTTTTTTTCTTGTTTTTTTGTTTATGTCCTCTGTTGGCTGTGGGGCCTTGTGTTGCATGTTTGTTGTCTCAGTTTGAATGTAGCCAGACACTCAGCAGAACCATGGGCATCCAAGTCAACAAAGGTAAAGTTAACTCACTTACCCACAACCACCCGTCCCCAAACCCCCCCACCCCATCTCTCACAGACAGCCAATCCAGACATGACTTCCATTCCATGGTCCAAATGTGGGGGTAGGTGGGGGTCTGAGTGGCCTCATCCACCAACACTGTTGCAGAGGCATCTCAAAGGCTTTTAGATGTTTGTGTGGTGTCTTTACACTAGTTTGTACTCCCCCACTGAATCCCTACAAACTGTTTTCCTCATTTAGCTTTGTCAGTTGCTCGTAGCTTGTAGTGTCTGTCACTTCTAATGTTGGAGCGATTGGGCAAAAAATGTCCACGTGGCGACTGTCACCAGTTTTGAAGTGATAGACAGTGAATGTATTTAGGGGTCTTGTGGTGCTTGCAGCCACGTCGCCTTTATTTCTCCTGCTGTGCCTGCAATGTTTTAATAGAAGGAACCTTATACTGCTATGATGCCCTTTAAAATCCACAGAGGTGCACTTGTAGGTTGCTAAAACAGTTGACATTTTTCAGGTATGATATCAGTGAATGGAAATGAAGACTGCGGTTTCCATCGGGACGAGTGGTGATGCACATACTGAGCTTTTAGAGGTGAATTATTTCATCACATTTGACACCGCGAAGGCCGATGATGCAGAAATATGAGGGCGCTCATTATGGTGTCCAGAACAGAAGGCTTGTCATATATTGCCGTGTAGTCAGGTTGGTGATAATGCTCATCCTATCTCCCAAGCAAATATTATCCAATAAATAATCTGCTATTTGGAAACAAGGAACACAAAGACAAGGGAATGATAAATTAATTCACTGGATTAGTATTTATTTAAACATATACATATATATATATACATATATATATATACATATATATATATATTTCTTCTGTCTACGTAGATAGGGTAATCCCTTAAGTAAAAGTGGTAATGCTGCAATATAAAAACACAATATTACAAATAAAAGTCCCACATTGAAGTTATCATTCAGACTAAACACTTTTGTATGATATGCAGGAGTAAATGCAGATAGATCTCCTTTTTCGGTGTTGCACTGTAATGGAATACTGTATATATTACTAGAATATTTTGACTAATACACTGATGTTTTTGTAGCGTTTTACTGCTGCAGCTAGTGGACATAGAGTCAGCGTTTACTACTTTATACTACATTTACTGGCAGCTATTTTAATATATAACAATGCATCATATTGTATGAACAGATCATAGAATGTGTAAATAGAAACTAAAGCTGTCAGTTTAATGAGAGGAAAGTAAAAAGTTCTGAATACTCAAGTAAAGTTCTTTAAATGTGAGTTTATAGTGTAGTGAGATACATTCCTCCGATGATGCAGCTGTCATATAGAATGAATTATAACATAAAATTGATTTATTCCAGCTGGAAATTTACTTTTTAATCGAGCACGTCACATAAGAAAATAAATCAAGACTCCCTCAGGCTTTCTGCTAAGCCATAGAAATTGTTTTCATCTCTGAGAGCAGTGAATTTTAAATCTAACATTCCAACACCAAAAGGTTTGTCTTTGTGTCTGTCACTGCACACACACACACATACAAACTCCCAGACTCTTTCATAAACAGCTCCCCTACAAAACATGATGCGTAGTTTTGTCTGCTGATTTTTATATACAGAAAAAAGTCAAACAAGAATTTCTGTGTTTTCTTTTCAATGACCATAAAAAGTCAAAACTGAGCAAACGGACAAGCAGCCCCAAACAATCTCTAGTGTGCATGGGCGATATTAGCTGAGTTGTTGGAGCCGCTATACCGAATAAATCTGGTCCCAGTCTGGGATTCAAAATGTACAAATGACAAGAGTGCCCCCCCCAACCCCCCCATGGCACGCACGTACACAGACTGTATCGAGCTGTTGTCCAGTCCAAACACTGTGAAACCTGTATTTTCTATTTTCCGATTTTTCCCACTGGTGCTGCTGGGCTCACCACCCACAGAGAAGCAACACACCTTGCGCATGAAAGAAGAGAGACACAGACACACACAAAAATCCCAGCGTAAACTATTTAATGTGTTGTGTCAACACATGCAGAGTGCGGTGTAAAATCAATACTGCTGATGGTGAACATCTCATGTGCTAATAACCCTCTTTCAACATTATTTGGAAAACATGAGCTATAAAGCCTCTTGCGATGCACAGCACATGCACTGTAGTGGCGTTTGGAATCCCCCTGCTTTTCCGCCCACACACTGTTCCTTTATCCTTTTTAATCGTAGTCGCTATCAGTGGCGCGTAGCATGTAGATGCTTCTCCATCACCCCCCCGTTCTCCTTGCCTCCTCCGATTTCATTCTTCTCTTCAATCTCAAGCTCTCTCGCCAGTCAGGATGTTCAAAATACCTCTATGTGTGTGTGCGTGTGTGTGTGTGTACGTCGTGTATGAACATGCACTGTGTTATTCTCTCATGAGAGTGTGGGGATGGATGAGAGAGATGGAGAGAGAAAGAGAGAGAGAGAGAGAGAGAAGGGGTAAAGTGTGAGCACGAAGCAACAACTGCCTCCTCACCTCCTGAAGGTGTGGGAACAATGCTTTTGTTTCAGGGCAGAGTTGCCAGTGACTGTAACCCACCCCCCTCTCCTCCCTCTCTCATACCTCACCCCTCTGTCTCTCATCGAAAACCCACCGCCCCCCCCCCACCCTCCATGTCCTCTCCCTCCCATTTCATCACCACAGAGGGAAAAGCGATGGAGCATTTCGTCTGCCGGAGGTGAAAAGAACTCGTCGAGTGTAAGTAGAGGGGGTTTCTGGCAGAGAGTGAGAGAAAGAGGGATGAGATGATGTGGTGAGGAGCAGGGGGGCTTTGGGGCAAGGACAGGAGCGGAGGCAGGCAGGAGATGGCGAAAGGGAATGGATAGACACGCAGAAGCAGCACAATCGCGTTAGCCTAGTCTCCCAGGGATAAAGTTGGGCTTAACTGCAGCATTACCCGCACTCCTGCATCACAAAATGTTCCTTCGCCAGCATTTAGCATGCAAATTGGCTCCCAGATTATGCCTTTTGTATTCATTTTACCAACTGTCAGGCTGTGACGCAGGGAGAATGATAATCGGGCAGATATTGCCCCCTAGCGCTTGGGTGAGGATCATCACACTGCAAGGGGGGG